CTCTGTAATTGTGCATAAAAACTGCTTGCCATACTGGATCAGGGCTCTCGTCCCTGAAGCTGCTGCTTCAGGTGTGAGCCCAGACTCGAGCCTGAATAAAGACCCTTGTGTTTTTGCATCAGAGCTGGCTCTTTGGTGGTCTCTCGGATTCTGAATTTTGGGTTTAACAATATCTATCCCTATGAATCGCCAACACCATCACACCTTCCAAGGGACCCCCTAAATCTCTTTTCGGGGGCTGGCCCCCCCGAATACCTCCAAGTAACTTTCTTTCCTTTTTTTTTTTTTTCTTTTTTTGAGTCAGAGTCTCACTCTGTCACCCAAACTGGAGTACAGTGGCATGATCACGGTTCATGGCAACCCGAAACTCCTAGGCTAAAGTGACCCTCCAGCCGCAGCCTCCCAAGTAGCTGGTATAACTACCAGTGCACACCACCAAACCCGGCTAATTTTTTGACTTTTTTTTAAGAGATGAGGTCTGGCTATGTTGCCAAGGCTGGTCTTGAACTCCTGAGCTCAAGCAACTCTCCCACTCCAGCCTCCCAAAGTGCTGGGATAACAAGGGCCACTGCCCCGGCCCCTACTGACTTTATTTATTCCCTTAGGAATTTGACAGAAAACACTTGCACAAATGCACAATTACACACACAAACAGAGAAGGCTACATAATTTGTGATTCCAGAGCAAAGTGAAAATGCAGAGCCTTTTGTTCAAAAATCAGGGGAAAAAATGCTGTTAACAGTACTAAAATATAAAACTTTTTCCTTTTTTTCCATGGTTTCTTTCTTGCGATATCATTTTTGTGTGTGTGTGTGTATGTTTTGTTTTTTAAGTTGTGGCAAGAACACTGAACATGAGAGCTACCTTTTTAACAATTAAGTGTACAGTATCAGTGGTTTTTTTTTTTTGAGTTGGAGTCTCACCCTGTTGCCCAGACTGGAGTGCAGTGGCCGCTCCTGGCCACCGCAGCGTCGACCTGCTGGGCTCCTGCGATCCTTCTGCCTCAGCCTTCCGAGTAGCTGGAACTACAGGCACGTGCTACCATGTCCAGCTAATTTTTTTGATGTATTGTAGAGATGAGGTCTCGCCAAGTTGCCCAGGCGGGTCTCGAACCTGCGGGCTCAGGCAATCCACTCACCTCAGCCTCCCAAAGGCGCAGGATTACAGGCTGAGCCACCGAGCCCGGTTAGTATCAGTGTTTTAACTCTAAGTATAATGTTATACAGAAGAGCTGTAGAACTTATTCATCTTTTTCATCATGTCATGGTGGTTTTTCTGGGGTTTTTTGCTATTAATGTCATACTCTCTTAGGCACTGAATACTTGCTAAGTGAGTGTAGAATCTCACAGGTACCTGGAGTCCTCCTCCTGCAACTCAGCACAAAAGGAATTGTGCCAAACCTTGACCCAGGTGTCTAGGCCCCTACCCGGCAGGGGAACAGAGGCCAGCAATGGTAACTGGCAAATAAGTAAACTTCCCATTCTGCGAAGGAGGAAAGGAGGCAGAAATCAGAGCACATATGAACGAAGGCTCTACGCTTCTGGCACACACTCCTCTGTTCTACCAGGCTTAACTTACATAACACAAATTCAATGATAAAATTATCAAAAATTTTAAGACAGCAACAAAGAGCATTAAATCCCAAGCAGGATCCTGTGTGCAGCACTGGTTATAATAGCAACATGTCATAAACCATATTGTTCATTATTTAGTGATTAAACAAACCATGGTACAACCACACAATGAAAAATCAAGCAGCCATTAAAAATGAGACATTATAAATAATTACATAACTGTCCAACATACAAGAAAGTTTCAGAATATTAGGTATGTCATAATCTCATTAAAATATTATGGGGTGTGTGTGTGTGTGTGTGTGTGTGTGTGTGTGTGTGTGTGTAAAGGAATGTTAGGAGAGATACCTCAACCTCTTCAAAGTGATTACAGGAAGAAGTCATTTTTTACTTTTTTAATATTTATAATATTTTAGTTTTTATTGTTAGGATATATTGTTTCTGAGATAAAATAATTATTAAGAAATTTTAAAAAAAGAAATTCCTAAAGGGGAAAAAAATTCAACTCTAGCACCTAGAACATCTGTCTGAACCACAGTGAAGTCTGTTGGCTTCTTTTATGATTTAATAATACAAAAAGACTGTGGAAAATAATCTTCATGACCTATAAAGACTACTCATTGCAATTCTTACCATTCTTTTTACCTTGTTGTACAAAATTCTTACCATCATTGCTGTGCTCTTCAATAGGAGATGCTGAGTCCACATATTCTAGGATTCCCTTTGTGACTTCAACAACCTGAAGCCTCCTAACTCTGACGAGGTCTGTATCTTTCAACCCTTCCTCCAATTGTTTGACCACCTCTTTACCAGGTTGGGAAGTCAGAATGGTAATCTGAAAATAAATCCAAGAATCAATGTCTATTTTTCCTTATGTACAGACTGAGGAACATAACAGTTTATACCTAGAGGACAAAACAGCAGAAGTGGTGGGGGTGTTCAGTGCAAAGAAGATTTGACTGCACTTTACAATCAAATTTTATTTCTCGGATTCTGGTGGGACCCTCCCAATGTGGCTAAGCCAAGTCCAGAAAATGACCAGTGAGAAGCAATACCTGTGTTTTAGTATTTTAAGATTGCTTGAAGCACTGGCAACTTTTCTTCTATTCGAAAGACCAATTTTTTTTTTTTTTTTTTTTTTTTGG